GATATCTGCATGAAAACATTTTCAACTGTCAGCTGAGGTTACTGTTATGCAATTGAAACTTACATAACGCTATCTTTAGAAGTATTCTGCAATTCATATTGCCAATCCATATTATTACTTTAACATGGTAAATTTATACAGAAAACCACAATAAAACAAACATGTTATAAAAATAGGTCATGAAATATTTAATATATTTAGGAAATTACAAAATTTCCATTAAAAACATTTTTTCTCCAAAGAATCTTACCCTTTGGTTTTTGAAGCACTGCTATATTTTCCCTAATAATCATCCTCTCTACAAATATGTTGATATATTATAGATGCAAATATAATCTATTCTATCATGCAGCACACAGTATTAAAATAAATCACTTGTGTATAGGCCTCCATCTCCTAAAAGTAATATATTAACAACTACATACTCAAATATAATTATTTATAAATAGGTCATCTTGAAGAAGATGCAACAAATTCCCAGGTTTAATGCTTACTTTCTTTATTTTCCACAAACTACTTTCATAAGAAACAGTATCAATAGCAAAGCTCAAAAGGGGAATTAAAATAAAAAAAAAACCAAACCCCAAACTTCAAATTGATGCTGTTAGTATGAAAAGGAAAGGGTTAAAACACACCCCAAAGCACTCTTTAAATACCATCATGCAAATACTGCAGAGGGTTTAAGCCCATCACCCATACTAATATTATTGCTGTGCCTTCACTTTATCAAGCAAGGACTTGAATTCATTTCACGTGCAACAATCTTTGCATAGCACCTCATTTTATCCATGCCACCAAAATGGTAAATTTAGTAATTACCAATAATTAGGGTGGGGGTGAAGGGAAACTAAAGCCTTATATTGTTCTTAATCATAAGGTATCGTCAGACAAACCTCCCCAGTCTTCATTCTGGTTCTACAAAATTAAGCAGTAGAGAAAAACGGGTAAGTGCCTGACTGAAAAATACGTGTAGTCTTTGTGTTTTTGTCACTATAGATAAGGTAGGAAAATTCTAGTGTTTTACCCGCCCTCCTTCTACCCCATCATGTTTCCACCTTCAAATCTAATTTTAAATAAGGTATTTTAACATTGGTGGTGATGGAAAAGAAGATTTATTATACTGGCTATGTAATATATTTTTAGAAGGAATATATTTAAACTATAACAACAGAATATCAATTAAGCAATCCTAATGTTACATTTCTTAACTTTATATTACTTTTAATAAGTTTAATAAAGTTTAATAACAATGGCATATTAATAAATCATTTTCTATATATCCAAAAATTAAATATTAAAACTTTAATTATTCGGACCAATTTTTAGGCCTCGCTCCAACTGATATTATCTAGTTATACAGCTATATGCCAGAAGGACAAAATACATAGTCCTGTTTGGAAGTAAATACATTTAATCTTTTAACTTTTATTTCAATCAAAATACTATTTATTTGGACCTGTATAAAAATAAATGCTAGTCATGATAGATGCTATTAGGATAAAAATCACTGTTTAAAACACATTTGTCCTACTCCTGATTTACTGCATAACAGAAGAGAAAATCTATTTCACTCATTCATTAACTGCCCTATACAAACTGATAACTTAATTATCTGAAAAAGAAAATCTTTAACTTTTCAATTTTTCTGTAGAGATAAAAAGACTAGTTTCACATAAAAAAAGAAAAAAAAATCTCACTAATGGGAAGACACCTCAAAACCAATGTCTATTTTAAAATGTTATATCTCAAAGTATGTCAAAATGCTATTAAGTCAATACAAACACCTAATCAACTTGAAAAATGATAGGTAAAAGACTATATCATACCTTAATTTTTCTACCATTGTGAAACATTTTTGGAGTTTTATGCAATTATGATAGATTTCTGAGACCAATTTTAAGGCAGACTCTAAGAGATCTATTCCCCAAATTATGAGTTGGAAGGTACTAAAGATAATATAGATCTAGAAAGCAACCATATCTAACAAGAATTCTGTTTAGAATACATTTTTAAACTGTTATTTAAAGATTTTTTTCTCTATTAAAAACTTGGAATAACATACCAAGTAAATACCAGGACAACACACTTAAAAGAAAACAAATTAACAACACTGTGTGTGTCAAGGTATTCAGAATAAAGCTACTACTGTATTTTCTTCCTATGAAAAAAGTAATATGCCTGTGAATTATCAAATTATCTCCTAATGATTTGGGGCACTGAGGACATTTTGGTAAAAACAACCTGGGAAATATGCCAAAGATACTTTCCTTTAAGAAAGTATGGTGGGGTCTGTAACAGCATGAATAATTTCTGAATAAGCAACCACAATAAGAGAATTTAATTTACCTGTGTACAAGATGATTTTCAGCATAGGCTTAAAATTATTTAATCCTATTAAAGATCCAGGAGCTACATGAATAAAAATATTTTATCTACATAGAACTGTTCTTATGTTACAGTTTCTGCATGACTCTAGATGAAAACATCTATGCTTTTAAAGTACTTATAGATAAAATAACAGGCTCTAACCTTCAAATGCCAGTATAGACAATGAAACGTAGAGTTAGGGAACTTTATTAGCTTTTTTCCTTTCCAATTTTGAACTTTAACCTAAGCTTTCCTCGCCTAAGGATTAAAAAAATTCAATTAAAAGAAACCAATAGTTATGATCTATTAAAAAAAGACTTAGCATTACTTAATAACATATTACAAAGTAAGTTTTTAAAAGGTATAAATTTAAAATGTTTGCTTCCTTTGTAATACCTTCCTTTGAGGTTAAAACAAATGAACAAACAAACAAAAAACACATGCAACCCTCAAGGAGAGGTTAGTGTACTAAACATTCTATTTCTGGAACAATTTGTAATTAAAAGGTGAACTTAAATGATTGAAAAAATATTTTAAATAAATAATTTCGGAATCTATAAATAAGGAAACAGATGTTCACAGAATCATTCATAGATGAGGTCATAAAAATACCTAAGTAGAAAGAATTCAGTTTTACTTTGAGACAACAAAGGAATGATGAAAAACTGGAAAAACAGTTCTAATCACATACACTTTGATATATTTCAATCAAAGGAAATACAAGAGTAAAAAAGAAAGCACAAAAAAGATTACAAAGTATTAATGAGAGAGCTTAATTCTTCCTTCCTGATCTTCTAATGGTATATAGCTATAGAACTTTTAAAGGCAAATATTTGGGTTTTGGAAAAAATGATGTGTATGAAGATGTACTAACCATAAAAATCATTTCACAAATAATATAAGATTATACTACACACCACTATAAAAATTTTAATAACAGAATTGTAATTATAAACAACCATGGGCACACTGTAAATTCAACCAAAAAAATGTATCATTAAAGGATTAAAGTTTTTAAAGGGGCCAAATTCCACTGCTTCATAATATTTGATATGATAAGAGTAGAAAATAAGTTGTTTTACTTTCGTAGAAAATGTTAGCAATGCTCATATAACGGCTGATTAAACTCTGCGTGATATTTTAAAATTTCACAATAACTGAATTAGTAACTGATGTAGGAAGATTATGAGAAAAAACAATTTCTTTTTTTTCCCCAGATGGAGGTCAAAGTTTAGGAAAGCAGAATTGAAACATAAGACATCTTACCTTTCTTCAATTAACTATCATTTCCTTACCTTAAACTGGTCATTATGTACGAGTGAAAATTTTGCAAAAAATATAAATATATTGTTGGACTTTTTTCAACAACAAAAAAATTTATCTAAAAATAACTATGTTGAAGGGTTAAGTTCTTGTAAAAGATACCCTTGCAAATGCTCTGTGTTCTTGAGTAATGCATTTGATCTCTCTGGGCTTTAGTTTACCCTGTAAATTTTTATCTGTAAAATGGGGGGCTTGGACTAAATTACCTTTGTGGTCCCTTCCTGTCCTAAATCTTTAGTTCTCCCATCTTAAGAATAAGGACTCAAAAAACAAGTCCCTCCAAAAAGACACTATGACACACCAGGAAAAAAAATTAGCTATTCAACAGAAAGCAGTTTCTTTTAAAACATTTTCTGTACTTTGCATTATGTTTCAAGTCTTTAAAAAAGTTCCATGGTTTAAGTTTTCTATAACTACATAAGTCTTAACTACTACTTAAGTACAGTTCTATGTTATAATGCAAAAATTATACTGATGAACTTCAGAAAATGTCATATGAACCATATTCATCAACTCCTTAAAAAGAGTCTAACTTCTGAACTTCAGAAATTAAACCATAAACACACAGACAGCTGATTAAACTCTGGGTGATATTTTAAAATCAGAAATTAATGCATCAAAATTGAACTAAAACAAAGAACTGTGGTAAATGAAAAGGGGGTAAAGAAGACAAAGTAGGAATTTAGGTATATTGCTTATTTAATACAATATGGCATTACTAGCAAATTATTAAAATCAACTTCCCCACCATCTTTAGGAATCACAAAAAAGTCTAAGTAGCTTGGATAAAGCAGTTAAAAATAAAAACAAAACCCCTGAATTGATAACAGAAAACTACAGAGTAATCAGCCTTTTAAAAATTAACATATATAAAGCACGAGGACACCATGTACTAAGTCCCATTTACATTTACATGGGAAGTGAAAGTGCAAAGCAAATGAAATGCCAGCATGGTACAACTAACTCAACCATTGTTAATGGAAAAGAACAGTCTTAACAAACAATGGAGAGTTCCAAAATTGAGATTCACACTGGATATTTGGCTATTTATAGGCTGATATCCACTGCCTCTGGTTCCAAACCCGACAGAGCAACAAGAGTGTGGGAAGCCTGAAGGCTACATTTAGGTTCTACACAGTGAGTTGTCCACTCAAATGAATGAGTTGATTGTACACATAACACATATAAAACATACGTATGCCACATGCTAAGCATGCTAAGAATGCCTAAAGCTATTTAGGACAAAAGAGCCTTTTCTAGCAGAGCAAGCCATGCTTCAGCATTGGGAGAATCACTAGTTGCTTACTTACCTCTTGGAGCAGATCTGCCTGTTCAATGGCTTTAAGAACATTTTTCTTGGATGTTTCCTGAACTTCTCCTCCCAAAAGAAATTCATCCAAAATAAAATAAGCTTTCTCAAAATTAAAGATGATATCAAGTTCACACACCTGAAATGTAAAGTAAGTGCATTTTTACACTTATGCAAGCAAGATTTGTCCCCTTTATTTCTAAAGTCAGGAAAAATTTATAAACTAAGGACATCTGCAATGCCTACTCCTATGACATCAAATTAATCCCAATCTTTCTAAAAAAGGCAATATTGGCAACAAAACAAAATTGATTTTTAACAAGCTCAACTTTCACATTTGTGCCACTGCAATTCCCTTAAAATATTACAAAAAAACCCCTAAATCTACAATCTTCCAAACATGAGTAACATGATATTTCCCTTCTTTGAAATTGATTTTAACATTATCCCTAAGCAGATTTTAAATACTAACAAAAATCTAAATTCCATAATTAATTCAAGAATACTAATGTGTTTGTTGTTAGATTCCTTTCCATTACATAACTTTAAACCTCATTCTCATAAGTGTAATTTTAAAAGTAAGGCAATCCTGGCAGAGAGGAGGGCTATTAACAAGAAAAATAGTTTTTCCTTTCTGCTGTGGAATATGACATCTAGGCTCGTCCCATTTTGTGGTACTTATAAAGAGCCTGACATTATAACAAAGGTCTGTCAGTACTCTACATGTCATTTATTAAGAACTATTAAGGACTAGGAGAATTTGTCTTTCCCATTACAAACTTTGCTGTCTTAAGGCAGGACAATGGAAAACCCCTGCTCAATTGGCAGTATTTGTTCCCAAAATGCTGTGATAATAACTTGGTCACTATGCCCTGTTAACTATACCTTCATCAGTCATCTAACTTTGTGTCTCCCTCTTCAAGCATTGTATTTCCTAAGTTTATGCCACCCACATTTGGTTTTTTCTGTATTTTCAAAAAACTAAAAACTATTAAAACTGTTTTTAGTGCAGATGAAGAGTTTACTTATGGCAACTACTCAATATGTTGTCTCACTCTTCCCTAGTGTAAGAATTAAAATGCTTGATTAAATTGAAATTACAATGCTCTGGTTAAATTCTTTGACATTTAATCATACTTCACTACTTTAAAACAGTAAGAAGCTTTTTCTAAAATACAAGAATGATAACACATAAGATTAGAAATATGGCTAGGAATTTTATTTTTGAAAAAAATTACTACTCACACTGCCAAAATATTTGTCAAGTAGTTCAACATAACGATGAATTATTTCCAGGGTAATTAGTTCATTGTCCTGATCTTCAATAGCACAGCAGAAATACAGGCTAGCATATCTATAATAACATATAAGTACCAAGAGAGTTTCTTCAGACAATTAAGTATTTTGTTATATGCCATCAATATTCATCATTAAAACAGAACATTTATAAGATTTCTCTTAACTTATTTTTTTTTTTAAGAATTTACTTTTAACTTACTTATTAATGTTATCAATTCAGGATACAAGAATGAGGAAAATAATCCATGTAAAAAATATATTCATCTCAGTTGAAACTTTCAAAGAACCAGATTTACTTTATTATAGCATGCTTTTTGTTGGTATGAATACTTATTATGTTCCTTGTACCATTTCAAGCATATAGCTAAAAGTAAATCTCATCAGTTTTACTGATGTAAATTACTCAGAATTTGCTGACATAAGCAAATCAAGGCAAGGGAAAGAAAAATATGTTCAATTAAACGTAAAAATTCAGTCTGTTTAAAACATTATATAGGAGCTGTCACTAACAGGAAATGAAGAAGGGAAAGCATTTCCAATAGCAGGATGTTTGTAAGAAAGACCAACAAAAATTAAAATATAAGAAGAAGCTGGAAAATTTTCATGAGAAATACAGAACAAATTTGTTTTTTAAAAATAAGCAAAAAGAATTTAATTCTAAAACAAGATGACACACGTGACTTGTGAAAGTGGGGGTCAATTTTTATTATAGCAGACACAGCTAGTTGTCACCCAGGTACCTGGGGATTTGTAGCTTCTGGATGGAACTTCATTCACAAAGATGCTAAATCCCAATTGCAAAGTGGGTTTCGAAAGGATTCTAAGTTGATGGGTCGGTCAAAGATGCCTCTATTTTTTGAATAGACCACAACAGTTTAATCAGACCACTTTTCAGCTCCACACTAAGGACTTAATAGAATTCAAAGGTACATAAACAAAAATTCAGGTACTTCCCATCATTTCTGGGACCAATAAGAGTTCCCATGGTCCCCTATAGCTGCAGACATCTTGTCCTGCCTGCACATTCTCTTTGCCCCACTGCTGTAGGTTGGGTTCCAGATCCATCAGGACTATAGAAGTCATTCCTTTATTGAGATGGCATAATGTAGTGATATTCCTATATTCCTCCCCCTTGAATAAGAATTCAAAATTGTAGTGCATCATCCCAATAACAAGAAAGCAAAAATTACTGAGGTCATTAAGGGTCTCAGGTCTGTGTTATTAAGCTACATAACTCATCAAATTGCTTTAATTAGAATTAAAATAGCACGAAAAGAAATTAATGTAGACAGGCTTCAGGAAAGAAGCAGAGTTAAAAAAATAAGAGAAGCCTAATGTAAAATCATTTCAGTTCAGATATAAATATGAGTAGAGAAATATTTGGAAAATTAATTAATATTATCTTTAAAATTGCTATGCACGTTATCTAAATCTAACATACAAAAAGGGCTTCATCACTTTGATGCTCAAGATGTCATACATAAATATTAATATACGGCACCAGCTGTCTTTAGATATCCATGTGTCCCTGTTTCTCTCTGTATGAAATCCTCTAAAAATGATGAAGCCCATCTTGTATATTAGGTGGATTTGGGTAACATATATAATTACTATCACCTGTACATTATATATTCTGTATATTCATATACTTAGCACTCATCGCAGTGCCTTATCTTTACATAGAAGCTAAATAAATTATGACAGGGCAGACCTTGTGATAAATTGGAATGAGCTCTGGATTAGGAATCAGATGACCAGTATTCAAGGGTCAGCTTTGCCACTTACTTTCTGTTGTAACCTTACAGAAACTATTTTATTTCTCTGGGTCACAGTTCCTCATTTGTAAAAGGAGAGTATAGGACTAACTGTCCTCTAAGATCTGTTCTTTTAATCTTGCGGTGCTTTTATTTACACATCTTATAGGAAAGCCCCTGAACCTTTCTGGACCTCAACTTCCTTAAATTTGGATAATTTCTAAGGCCCCCTTTCAACTCTAAAATCCTATACTCTGTAAGTTCAGTTTTAAAATTTCAGTGATTCAATCCAATTAAATATTTATGACTATTAAGTGTCTATGTTCTAGGCTTTGTGGGGAGTGTTTAAAACATGGCCCTTGTCTTCAAGAAACTACCACAGAGTAGAAGAGATAAAAACACACAAATTAAAATGTGCTAAATGCACAGGAGGTTAAAATATATGTGTGTATATATACCAGAAATCTCAAGAATAGAATAAAATATTTCTCACTTTTTTCCCTTGAGGGAAGAAGTAGGGAGAAGAATCAATGAAAGCTTCAAGCACCTTTCTGATCTGGGTAAAACATGTTCCTGAGTGGATTAGGGACAAGTAGGTGGTGTAGTGGATAGGGAACTGGATGTGGATTCAGGAAGACTGAGTTTAAATCCTGAGTTTAAATTTCGAAACTTAATAGTTGTGTGGATAAGTCTAGTTAAATCACTTAACATTTCTGCTTCAGTTTCCTTTTGTGAAATAAGGGGGTTGGACTAGATGGCCTTTTAAGGTCCCTTCCAGCTCTAAATCAGAAGAGAAAACTAATGGTATTTTTTATGATTCCTTCTAAGGTGCAATAGCAGCTTCTCCCAAATGATGAAGAGATGTATATACACACACACATATACATATATAGATATGTGTGTATGTACACACAAATATCTATATACATGTCATTAAGACATATGTGTTTCTTAATGTCACACACACATACACATACACGCGTATGTCTCACACACACACACACACACGTGTGTGAGCACAAGCGCATCAGTATGGTCAACATAAAAGAAGTTGGGAGATGTCCTTGCTGAATATCCTTTCCATGCCCTGGCTAAGTAAACTTTTTTTTTTCCTGGTTAACTGCTAGATGGTCTATGGTCAGGTTCCAATCCCAAATTTGAAAATCAGGCCAGCCTGAATCAAACCCAATCTAGATATTGCCAATAACAGGCAGGATTAGATTAGAAGTAGAAGAAGGACAATGTGAAAGTGAGCCTTGAGTGGACGTGAATGCAACCTGTGGCTTTTATGGTTCTGGCAGTACTTCTAGGGGTGCTGGCTATATACTATGAACCATCCACATTGACCAGAGGAGATCAGAAAGGCAATTGTCTGTAAGCCTTCATCTAAAAACAGATGTGAATGTACTCTGATGGCTTTAAAATCCATGCTCTGAAGATAGTAAACATTGTAAAGTGTCATTTGTTGAACTTGCTTAATTTCTAAATTTCAGGGTAACAGTGATCTCCAAGACCACCAACTGTGGTAGGCATGGGCCCTCCCTCAATGAAAATTTTGGACTTAAGAATTATGCAGAAGGAACTATTTGGAATTTTTTTATGTGGCATCTGGGAAACCATTTGCAATTATGCCAGGGGATTTTGAGGGGAATTTTTAATGCAAAGCACTGGGAGAAGCATTTCAAAGCACAATGCCTGAACCACCTCAGGACCCCAGAGACTTCTTGAATTGGTGACAGGGACAAATGTGCCAAATGAACCTGAACTGAATTGCTGAGAAGGGGGTATGTCAATTTAAAAGGACAGATAGCTTCTGCTTTAGCTCCTGTGAATTTTAACTCTTTCCTTGAGACTTAAGGTCCCTATAATGAAGGTCCCAAAAGGTTCAGGGTATCTCGCTCTTTCCTAGTGGCAACTACATGTGTATGGCAGCTAGGGCACATGTACTGGAAGTTACCTCGGATCCTAACAATGGCACCCATAGCAACAGTGTTCAGTTAATAAGAGTACGAGAGAAGGGAAGAGTACTCAGGCTCCAGCAGGGGCAGCACTTGTACTTTGGCACAGGTATGGCATATGTTCCAGCACAGAAGGATAGCACTCAGGACCCAACATAAGGGGCACCAAAACTTTGAGCACAGGGAAACAGCATTGTCATCCCAGGGCCTAAAAGCAGTAAGCACTGGCAGACAGTGGCACATGCCTAGTGGCAGAGTGAGAACTGGCAAAGATAGGCCTAGTACAACCCTCTGCTTACAGTAACTAGTTCAGTACCAGTATAGTTTGTACCCAGTGGTCACTGGACAATCTCTTTCCCAGGGAAGACTGAGAGAACCAAATAGCAGCCCTGTTGGGAAGCTGGCTTGCTTTCTGACAAGGGGTAGGTGAAAAGTGTTTACTTATCCTCCATGGAATGAGGGACAGCTCTACAGCAGAGCCTCTAAAGAAGAAAAGCTTTAGTAGTCTACCCCACACCCAAGGCAGTTCTAGGGAGGGAGAGGTCCTGGTTGGTGGCCCTCGGAACACTGAGAGTGTGGTAGTACATGGAGATTCTCAAAATAGATCCTGGAATTGGCACAGGCAGCATGCAAGAAGGTAAGAACTTTGCTACAGGTGACCTTTATGCAAGATGAGAATCAACAACTGTGCCACAATTGTCATCTGCCCTGTGGCTCTTATCTACTTGGTGCTGTTCCTATTCATTTTCATTTACATCAGGAAACCCACTGTGAACTGATTTGATATCATCCACCACATGGACCAGATCATTAAGATATGCAACTTTGTCCTTTTGAAGTGAAGAGTTAACTTGGGATTTCTGGTCTTCAGTCTCTGCGATGTTCTCTCACTCTTTCAGGAGGCCATTAACATTGCTTGTGGTATTTTTTTGCTATTTCCATGTTTGTTTCTGTTTTCCTTCTCCAATGCTGTTTTCTTCATCTTCAAGGTTAGGGATATCCAGCAATATCCCTAAAGATATTAAGTGGTAGAAGGCCTTCTAGAAGACTTTTAGGACTTCACCAACAAAGAAATAGGGTGTGGTAATAGCAATATTCTAAGGCTCTAGGTTATCCTTTCCTTAACAGGTATGGAAACCATCTGTGAGACTTAATTGGCCAAGGCCCTAGCTATTAAGGTAGCTTCCTGGTGGCCTAACTACAAGAACCAGCATGAGAAGTCAGGAGCTCCCTCAAGTTTTGACCAGTGCACCAGCACGGCCAACATAGAGGCAGGGAAATATGCCCATCATTCCATGCTATATGCTTACTGAATACTCTTTCCATACTACAGCTAAATAAAC